AACAACAATGACACAATCTTCCATCCCTAACAAGGTAAAGACCATTAACCAGCCATCAGCTTACACTGTTGTGACAAACCACCCCAACCTGTTACTCTTTGACTTTTGTTTTACTGCAAATGAAACCTCATAATTCACATCCTAAAATAAGGTCTAATTTTTTATCCAAGAAAATAAGTGAAAACTAAAACATTACACTGAATGATGTTCCTATATTCCCAACTCCATTTTCTCTAATTAATAAAACCATTTAAAAGATATGGGACAAGTCCATGTAGGATATATTATGTTGACTATGATGCTACATATTTTGTCTTTAAATTGTGACATTTGGACTTCTAGCAGCACTTGAACCTGGACTCAAATTTATGTGAGTATCTTTATGAAATTATGGAGACTCAAAAACTTAAAAAGTGTCAAATTTCAGCACACCCCTTCTTGATCGCTTATATTTTTTAAAAAATGAAAATGAAATGTTGCAGTTTTGTTCATTTAAATATAGTAAAATTATTAAAATAAACAAATAAATAAAGATCTGAAATCAGCTGATTGTGATGAAGACTTTACAGACTTTCATTGATTGACCTGTATTAGCTTTGATGGTTTGCAGTCCATTCTTTATAGCGTTGAGAAATGCTCTGATTGGATCTTAATGATTTGATAATAAAACCAACAGCTAAATGATACTGCATTTTATTACTGTAACTGGAAACCTAAAGACTCATGGCCGGCAAACTGACTATTTACAAGAAAACTTTCATTTTCATTTCTGCTGAAACATGTGCGAGCCACTGAAGGTATTTTACTCATGCACAAAGATTAATACAATTGTCTCACTAACATGCTTGATCACCAGGAAGAGATGAAATCACACTCAGCACAATGAAAGAGATACATAACACCAAAGAGACAGGAATGTGCAGTATGCAGCAGGCGTGGATCAGACTGTTTAAATACCATTCTCTGGCTCTCCAGTCATCCACACACCTACTGCAACTCCAACAGGCGTCTTAACAGGTGAGTAAGCAGAAATATCCGTTGCTTGTTTTTAAAAGACTCGACCATAAATAATACAAATATTCTATATTTAACTGTTAACTTACAGTTTATTAGTTCTATTATTAGACTTCATTTTTTTCCCCATTACTTATCAGACTTGTCTATTAAGAACTTAGCAATTCTAACTGTACTCATTCATAAATCTATTTGTTGATTCACTAATTTAGTGTGCAGAGATCTGTTTTTATGTATGTTTTTACTCTTGGACTTAGAGTAGCTTCTATGTGTCATAGTACAAAATATCCTTCTTTATCTTACGGTATAATGAGACTGAACTCCATTTGTTCATCCTCTGTTGAGAAAGCCATTTAACCACTTACGCCCCACGGCTAAAAGGAGATCACGTTTAATCGGTTATAACACGGGGTGAGAAATATAAGTCCAGACATGTGTGGTATCCACAGAAACTTTCAGAGCTATCACTGACTCCAAACACCAAGTTTCACCACGCTCTGACCAACATTCACTGAATGAGCCGCAAAAGAAAAACACAAAAACACA